CAAGGCTGGGAAAAACAGAGGCACAGATGGGGGACAGAACTTGGACAACATAATTTAACACGAAGCAGCCTCCTTTTTCTTTAAGTATAAATATATTTGTTACAATTAATCAATCATGACTATCTAAAATTGCTGGGCTATTTCTGTACACAAACTACTTTACTTGCAGCAACAATAAAAAACTTGTACATGTGAGGTGTTTTTTGTTTCTTTTTCTGAAAAGGGCATCCTAGTTGGGCATGGTGGCACACATCTATAATCGCAGCACTTGGGAGGCTGACACAGGAAGATCACTATGAGTTCAAGGTCAACCTGTACTACACAGTGAAAATCTGTCTCAGAAACAAAAACAAAAATCAAACAAACAAAAAAACCAGAAAAGGGTGTACTTTCATGCACTATTCTTAACCACTGAGAGCCTTGGATTCACCCTTTTTATTACTGGGCATAAAAAGAAATTTACAAGTTACTGCACTGTTATTGTGACTGACACCAATTACAAATGCACCACAAATTATGTCAGATTAATTAGTATTCTTGAGATAAAAGAAGTCAAAGATTACACGCTGATAATCCCTGCTAATGAGGAAGTCAAGGCAGGCAAGTGACAAACTCAGACTAGGCAATTTAGCAAGATGCTATCCCAAACTACAAATAAAAAAGGGTTTGGGATAAACCTGAATGGCAGAGTACCCTTGGGTTCAATCCCCAGTACTGGGGGAAAAAAGTTGTCAAAGAACAGTTACTCAGACCATCATTAAAAAGAGCCTGTGTCAGACAGTACTTGCCACTGAAGAGAGGTGGGTATGCTTCTGATCTCATAAGAACCAACACCAAACAAAGTATTCTAGGAAAAATACAAAGTGTCATGCATTGCCTTCTTCATATCAGAGGCTACAGAATAAAATCACTGATAACAACAACACAGTCAGATCAGCACAGCAACTTTCCTATTGATGACATATTTCTTCATCACTGCCTCAAATATTTATCATAGAAGAAATGCAAGCCTTATTTGGATCTGGTGGTTCAAAACTTTAATTCCAGCACTCAGGAAGGCTGAGAAAGGAGTGCTAAGAGTTCCAGTACCAGCTTTACAACATAGTCACACACTGTTTCAAACCAAAATATTTTTAAAGGGGGGTGAGAATATAGCAAAATGGTAGAGTGTCTCTGGGTTCAAGTCCTAGTATCATAAAAAAAAAAAAAAAATCTCCCTAGAAAACCTTTCTAACTGTTCATTGGTGTATGACATCAGCTCGACAGCTACTCCATGTATCATCTTACAAACCAACATTCTTACTGCCAAACTCTCTAGAAGAGGTACTCCCCCAAGTTTTGTGATTACTTTTGACCTCTCCCTTAGAATGCATCATCCTCAGAACTGTCTCTGTTCTTTTATACATACATCAGAAAACAAGCCTGTTCTTTTCAAGATTTTACTCATGAGCAGTATTCTTTACACTCAATTTGACATTTAAGCCAGTAATTTCCATACCTGCCTGGTGTAGAGACAGGTTCTTTCACCACAATTTTTGTGATTGGTGTTGCTACAGTGTGCAAAATGCTCAATGAGTTCTATTATGCCATGTTTCTTCAGTGTTTACAGAATATTTTGATACTGAAAAACTGGCTATTGTGCCTGGTGAAGCTTCTGTCAACCAGTAAAAAAAATTAAGCAGAGGAGACATTTTATCGCTTTCAGCAGCTTCTAGCTACTTCAGGAATGCTCACCTTTTTCTGAATGCATTAATAGTCCACAGTTATCTAAATACACATACTTCAAACACGCCCTGGTGATCCAGCTTGCTGTTCCTCTCAGGGAAAGACTGCTGTTCACTCCTTAGTTGTAATGGAAATCAATGATCATTTATGTGGGTTTCTGACTATGAACTAAAACTGTGGAACTAAAACAATTTCAGTCACATAACAAAAGATCATATAAATTTAAGGACTGTCTGGCAAAGTATCTTATAATTACTGTAAAAGTCCAGGAACTGAACTCAGAGTCTTAGAGCATAGGCTGTCAGAGAACAAGACACTTTAGAAACTGAGCTAAAATAACCTCACCTTTACTTTCTGCCATTCTCATGGTGAGTATGCTGCAGCTGGGACCAACTGCACAACTGTAGGCTCTTAGAAGCTGGAAAGGATCAAGAAGAACTAAAACCCCTTGAGAACTATAGAGGAAGCCTTCAAGGACTTGATCCTGGAAATGAGTGGCAGGTATTACCCTGAGGATCAGGGAGTCTGTGTCATGAGCTGAAGACACCACTGTGTTCTGCTCTAAGGTCATCTCTTTGTGAGCTGTCCGCTACCCTGAAAAAACAGACTTGTGCCTGTTTCCAGTGACATTTCCGTATCAATCTCTCAAGCACTACTTCTGTCACAACCAGGAAACCATACTTGCTCTCTTGGGAAAAGAAATTATTCTTCAAGATCTAGAATAGCAAAGGCTATCTTGGGCAACAAAGGAAAGGCAGGAGGCAACACAATCTTTGACTTGAAATTATACTATAAAGCTACAATCATAAAATCTCATACTGGCAGTAAAACAGACCCGAGGGTCAATGGAACAGATGAGAAGATCTAGACACAAACACAAACACACTCAGTCACCATATCTTTGACAAAGGGGCCAAACATATTCAATGGAAGAAATAGCGTTTTTCATAAATGGTGCTGGAAAAACTGGCTCTCTACACACCAAGGACTAAAACTAGACCTATGTCTATCACCATGCACTAAAGTAAAAAACCAGTCAAAGCTCTATCTAAATATTGAAACACTAGGGGCTGGGGAGATAGCTCAGTGGTCTAAGTGCCCACTTGGCAAACGCAAAGACCCGAGTTTGATTCTTTGTGCCACATGCTGTGAAGTCCTGGAACTCAGGTTGCAAAGTGCTGGTCCTGAAATTGAGTGTGGTGGCGCACATCTGTGATCAGTGTTAGGGAGGCTGAACTGCGTAGTGAGACCCTGTATCCAATGAATGAATTAAAAAAATTTTTTACAGTTTAAATATTGGAACGTTAAATCTACTGGAAAAGAATGTAGGTAGAAATCTTGAAGATATAGGGGTAGGCAGAGAGTTCATGAACAAAAACCAAACTGCACAACAAATAATTCAAACAATCAACAAATAGGATCTCATCTTACTAAAAAGTTTCTGCACATCAAAAGAAATCACTAACAGAGCAAAAAGAAAACCCATGGGGAAAATATTCATAGCCAATTATCCCTCAGACAAAGGACTTTTATTTAGAACATATAAAGGACTGAAAAAAAAAGCTCCCCAAAATTCAAAGACCTAATCCAAAAATGGCATCTGAGATGAATACACACTTCTCAGATGAAGAAGTACAAATGGCAAATAAATATATGAAAATATGTTCAACATTACTGGTCATTCAAGAGATGCAAAGTAAAACAATGCTGATATTCTCTCTTGCTCCAGAAACAATGGCTGTCATCAAGGAATCAACCAATAACAAATGCTGGAAAGGCTGTGGGGAAAAGGGAACCATTCTCCACTGTTGGTGGAAGTATAGACTGATACAGCCACTGTGGAAATCAGTATACAGATTCCTTAAAAACCTGGGATTAGAGGTCCCATTTGACCTAGCTATTCCTCTTCTTAGTATTTTCCCATAAGAAATTAAAACATCAAACTACCGTGATATATGTGCACCAATTTTTATAGTAGCACAATTTGTCATGGCTAAATCTTGGAAACAACCCCAATGTTTATCAATAGAGGAAAGGATAAGGGGCCAGGGAGATGGCTCAGCAGAATAAGTGCTTGCCTGGCAAGCACAAGGGCCTGAGTTCAATCCCCAGTTCTGAAAAGAAAAAAAAGAAGAAGAAGAAGAAGAAGAAGAAGAAGAAGAAGAAGAAGAAGAAGAAGAAGAGGAAGAGGAAGAGGAAGAGGAAGAGGAAGAGGAAGAGGAAGAGGAAGAGGAAGAGGAAGAGGAAGAGGAAGA